CATTAATACTTCCTTCAAATCCAGGTCAATTTCATTGGCTGGACTTTTTCCTCCTCCCCATAATTCTGAGGAGAAGGCGGCTTCCCATCTTCTCTGCCCAGTGCGCGCGCTCGCACGATATGTGTCACGCACTTCAGGGATTCGCCGCTCACAAATCATGTTTGTGCACTACAGGGAGTCTTCCCTTGGGCAAGCGCTGTTGGCCCAGCGCCTTTGACTCTGGCTATGTGACGCCATTTCACTCGCTTACACATCATTGGGGCTGGATCCTCCTGAGACACTCAGGGCTCACTCAGCCAGAGGGATTTCCTCTTCTGTGGCGCCCCACAGTGGTGGGTCAATGGAAGTCATTTGTCAGGCTGCTTCATGGGCTTCACCCTGTTCCTTTACTCGTTCTTATTTACGAGATGTGTCTTCAGGATCCATCACTCGTTCAGTGCTTGGACCTCAGCAGGCTGAGTGAACGCATTATGGCACCTCATCGGCCCTGCTTGAATGAATTTCATCCTCTTGTGGATGATATTTTTTAGTGGTGGCCCCACTCTTCTCTCTGGCTGCCTCAGCCTTTTAAGCCCTGGGCTGAGCGACCCCCACTAAAAGGAGACATGTTGGGTGTGTCCATTGGTTGAGCTAACCAGTGTGGCGTAAACCCATCCAGCTGCGCTTTATTCCAATAGCAGCTCGCTTAAGGGCTAAGACTAGACAAAATAGAACGTTGGTTACGTATTGTAACCCCAGATTCTATGAGTCTAGTCGCAGCCCTTAAGCCACTTGGCCACACTGGTTCTGTTAGGACTAAGAGCCATCGGAGGCGAACAGTGGAGTCGCTCCACTTATATAACCCACAAGGGGTGCCCACGTGGTGGGCGTACATTTAAGCTCTTCATGATTGGCTGATGCTGAGATCACCCTTCCAATAGCAGCTCGCTTAAGGGCTGCGACTAGACTCATAGAATCTGGGGTTACAATACGTAACCAACGATTTGTAGTCTTTATTTACGAATTTTAACAAGCATCAAATTACGTGACAGTGGACAGCATAAATATTTTTTAATCAAATTGAAGTACAGCATACGTGTAATTCAGGGAGACCCCTATTCAGCATGTTTTAAATGTTTCCCTGTTTCAACACACCTGATTTGAATTAGTTGTGCTTAGCAGGCTTCAGCAGAGCCTGATGAGCTGCTGAACAGATGACTCAGCCACTGAATCAGAAGGGAAACATTTAAAACATGTTGGGGATAGGGCATCTCTGGGACAAGGGTTGGGCACACCTGGCAAGGCATAGGAAAATAACTTCTACAGCCCCATTTACTTACATTTATTTATTTATTTATTTATCTATTCACTTATTTTGTTGTTCAGCAGACCCCCGAGCCACTGGAAGGTGAGGAGATTTAGGTTCCCATTCCCAACACACATAGTAAACCATCGCAGGTAGGGGTGGGTACCTTTGACATTTGAATCGATTCGGTACTAATTCCCGGTACCTAGGAATCGATACCGTTACTTAACGGTACCAATTTTCGTAACTTTTGAGTGTTTATTATCTTAATTCTCTTTTATAATTAAATATATATTTTTCTCAATATATAACAATATTTGATAAATATCACGATAAATAACATTCAACTGTTTGTATTTTAACATCGTCCTTGTAGTTTTATAAGCTGATAATTAAACTGAAGCAAACATCTTTACTGTGAACTAAATTTACTGTGTATCTTCATTCCTTTAGCCGTCTTTTTACTTTTGATTTTTCCTATTGGGAAGTTAGAATTTCCGAGGAGAAAGCGAACGCACCATTAGCTGATAACAACGGTGGCAATGGAAGCTAACATATCAAGCTAACGTTATCTTAAACAGTTTATTTAGTTGCTGGAGCAGATTTAAACGATGATGCCGCACACTTAGATCGTTGTCACTGGTTTCATCTTCACCCAATCACCCGTCGCATTTAGTAAAGTGAAGCCAAACTTTAGAGCGCGTTCATGTTCTTCTAGTCGGAAATTCGGAGTTCCGAGGAGAAAGCGAACGCACCATTAGCGAAACGGAAGCTAACATATCAAGCTAACGTTATCTTAAACATTTTATTTACCTACCGGAGCAGATGAGGATGTCTAACTTAGATCGTTGCCGCTGGTTTCATCATCACCCAGTTACCCATCACATTTAGTGAAGTGGACCCAAGCTTTAGCGTGCATTCTTTCTACCATGCTGCTCTGTTTACAACTGGCTCGCAGCGAGCGACGACATAATGCTCTTGCGCATGCGCAGCTGTCTTGGCAAGTTCTCGTTATGAAGCATGGGTACCGAAACGAGGCACCGTTTGAAATGACGTGAATCGGTGCTCGGTCGGTACTATGGAATTCGGTCGGTACCTTAAAATGTACCGAATTCGGTACCCATCCCGCAGGCAGAAAAGAAGTTCTTGACTTTTAGTTTTTCTTTAATTTTTCAAAGAGTAAAAGCTTGATTTGAAATCTATTTGTGTAAGGGCCTAACTAAAGCCTGGCTACATAATTATCTTTACCCTACTTTTGGTCTGTTGAAGTTAACACAATTTAACCAAAAGTAAACATATAAAAGCAGGCTTTAATAATGGTCATGACACTGACTCAGCAATAATGACTGAAGAAATGATTTCTAGAAGAATTGAGGGGAAGGAAGAAATGAGGGGAGGGAGGGAAGGAAGGAGGGAGGGAAAATCTTTTCCATAGCGCCTCTCAAGATAAAAATATAAAAATTTTAAATATAAAAAAGATTTTTTTAAATGATTAAACATATGTTTAAAATAAGCAAAAATAGACAATTGTGATAAAAAATGCAGAGAATGAGAGTGAATAGGAATGAAGGAAATCAGTGGATCCTGAGAAAGGCAGAATAGGTGGGGAGAGCAGAATAAGGAGAGGGTGGTGATGAAGGTCACGCTAAAGCCAGCCTGAACAGGTGAGTTTTCAGCTGCTTTTTAAAGGAGACCACTGAGTTCTCTGATCTCAGGCTCAGGGGGGGAGAGTTCCGGAGTCTAGGGGCCACAGCAGCAAATGATCTGTCGTCACCTTTGGTCTTTAGCCTGGTGCTGCAAGGTTAACATTTTCTTGTGTTTGTGCACACTAACGTATTTCTACAGAAAATATCAGTACAGTGAAGTAGAGAAGTACAGTGGAGGAAACCAGAACACACACACACACACACACACACACACACACACACACAATAGTAGTAATAGCAGTGTGGCAGTACCGGTATTAATGATGTCCAGATCCATGTGTTGAAGTAAACACGACTGGTCAGTCAGAGCTGATCGATGGTCCTGATGCAGTAGCACGTTGTATGTATGTCTATAGTACTAGCCGTATTTAGCTAACAGATGCAGAAAAAAAGCAGCTTAGAGATGACCGGGATGATAGAAGGAACATTTGATGGCAAAACGAGCGCGTTTCTCAAATAAACAGAAGCAGGTACAGAAAGCAGGAGTCTTTCTGCTACGCTCCGATTGTCACGTTGACTGCAGTAGAAAATCTCTGATTCTGAAACTAACTCACACCATGTTGCTGAGGAAGAGAATAATATCCTCCGCATGGTAGAAACATTTCTTCAGCAGCAGTTAGTCTTCTTATTTATTTATTTTTATTTTATTTTGTTACTAATAACGTCTCCTAGAGGCTCAAAATTGTAATTTAACACACCAAAACAGCAAAAGGCTAATATGGCTAACCACCATGGATTCTTTCTCTTCATCTACTTTTTTTCTGGGAATCAACGCAAAGGTGCTTTACCGCCACCTACTGGACTGGAGTGTGACAGACTGTACAGCAAGTCTAAACAAAACACATTTATTTTTGTGATGACTTTCCCAGGCAATTATTTAAACTAAAGCCATGCATTTTTCATCTGTTTAATCAATATTTTTGCCTTTTTAGGCAGTTTCTTTGGCTTCCCCAGAAAAATAACAAAACGATACAAGTTTGAATTGTCCAAGACGCCATTGAAAATCCAAACAACAGGAACACAATTCAAACATCAGCTTGTATTGTGTCATATATGTTCCAGATTTGGGAACCAGCGAAGTAAGGAGCTAAACTGAATTCCGTGTCACACGTGTTTTCAATTATCTGAAACTTACATTTTTATTCTTGTTAAGCTGCATTTAAGCTGCCCAAACAAGAGCCTGAAAATTCTAAGTGTTAATTTGAAATGATACAACTAATGCTGAGTTTTATGGTATGATAAATATTAACAATATTTTACAGGGAGGCAGCCCCACTGTTCTACCATATGGTAGACACACCCCTGTGGAGATGGAGCAGGTAAATTGGGGTCAAAAGTGGCCCCAATACAGAGCTTTGCTGGACACCATGGGCAAGGGAGCGGAGGAGAACTGGAACCTGAAAACAGCCACAGAGAAGGAACACTAAGGCAAGTAAGAAAGAAATCACCCCAGTGCAGTTCCCGATAGGTCAAGCCAGTCTTTCAGCTTATAAAGTAGCAAGTTATGGTCCATGGTGGCGATGACATAATCAGAAGACCGCTTCCATGATCTTGTCACTTTCTGGAGTGCCCTACCAGTCACAGCTGGGCTGAGCTGTTTACATGCAGAAGAATGTGGTTTCTAGCTGCATTATCTGGGTACTTGCCCTATTAGAATCAGTTCAACTTTGGCCAGATTAACATGTTTACATGCATTTAAAAAAATCTGACTTCAGTTGATCTAAGGCAATACTTTGGTTTTTCTGACGGTGTTTAGATGTACTGACTAGTGCTGATGGTGTCTTTGATACCAAGTTAGAGAAACACATCCCTGGCATCTTTGACTGCAGAGTCAAAAGAGGTCAGGAGATCAAATAGATGCAGCAGATGACATAGAGGCGAGTTTTCTCAGTAATGCACTTGATTCAATGTAGTGTTTTCATTTCACTGTGTGTGTGTGTGAGCGTGCGCGCGCGCGCAGCTTTAAGGGGGAGAATGACGTGACTAAAGTGGGCGTGACCTGAAGACGGGACAAAAAAGAACCAAATCCAAGTCACGTGACTGGCCATGGCATCTTTTTTTGTCCTTTTTGGATGAGCACGATCTCCGTGCAACCCCCAAAATGACCAAGCTGCAGTTTTTAAACGTCTTCCTGACTGAGCGCCTCATGCTTGCTGCACAGGAGATTTACAAGTCTGTGGAGGACACAATTTTGGAGTACCGAGAAGAGATAGCGATCAGGGAGCGGGAGAACGACCGTCTAAGACGTAGGCTCCGAGACGCCGGAATTGAAATATGGCCAGGTTAGCTCTTCGAAAAGCTAACAGCGTAGCCCTAGCCCATGATTTTCATAAGAGCCAAGCATCACTGCGATAACACTTGTTTAAATAATAGATAATGACTTGTAGGAGTATGAGATTAGTTAGTTACTATTGCCCCAAACTCAATACAAGTTTACCGTTTCCACAGCAGGTTAGCTAACATTAGCAGCTTTTGGGTTAGCGACCTTTGTTCGTTAGCCAGCCGGGTGTTGTGCTGAAAAATGCATCCCCGTAGAAAGTGTATTTAAAGCTCAGATCAGTCGTTAATAAAACAGTTTCATTAAAAGCTGTTTCTTACTATACTTTTAAACACAAACATCACTGGTGATTGGCATGGGAGCCTCTGCTTTCAGAATTAGATCTGTTGTAGCAACAGGAGTATTTTATACTAAGAGTGGTAAAGTATCTTTTAGAGTAGCGAAAATCAGGATGCAACTAACTTTTGACATTTTAGTAAATATTTGGGCAGTGTGCGTGCCACAACGGGTGATTTGGTTCAGCACAACACCCTGTTGTGATTGCACCATTGACTAGCCAGTGCTTCACTCTTGTAATAACGGATCATGCAGGTTCTTCGCTCACATTTTAATACATTTGCAGTGGTCTGTAGTAAAAATAAAGTGTTTCTCAGTGTAGGACCTCTTTAAAAATACGCACATTACAATTGGCCAACATTGTTAATGGCAAACTCAGTCACTGAAACGTTATGATCAGAAATGTTTAAAATCACCACTTACATTCACAGTAAGCAGACACAGTTTGTCAAAATTTTCTGTTAGAAATTCAAAACGATGACAAGGCTTCTTGTTATTTTCAGAAAAGATGGATGGTACTACTACATTCAGTTTTTACCTGTAAGAAAATGTTATTTTTTACCTGTAAGAAAATGTTTAAATGTTAATGCAAAACTTATAATTATTTTATACAATATAGTTTATATGTAAATTTGTCTGTAACCTTTATTTTTTCTACAAATGTGAAAATTTTTCTTTTTGCTGTTCAGCAAGCTGCTGAGGGGAAGCCATCTTTTTCATAGTGCATAAGCAATAGGCCACGGATTCCCTGTTTGAGGCTTCCTGTCTCTTTTAGCCTGCAAAATCACTTCCGGGTTACATTAATATTGGTGTTCTCTGTTCACACAATCACTGCAGGACCTGCTGAGGATAAAGATCTGTGATGATGTACACAGGTTAAATCAAGCCACATCTAAAATGGCAAAATCAAATAGAGGTGTATGTGTTTGCCTACATCCATAACATTGAAGGAAAATCAAATGCCAAGTTCACAGAGAATGTTTTTTTTTTTTTTTTTACTTCTTTTAAAACTATAATCGGCCACATTAAGTTTAACATGCATGCTAATGGTGAAAATCCTCCTCTGGCAATGCAGCTGCATTAGCTGATGATAGAAACTAGACAGGGAAACACTCAGATTAGTCAATTTAGCGTTCATAAACTCATCCATCTTTGCTCGACATCTTGACTAATAGAAGCTAACCATTAGCATTAGCAGCATCTTGGCAACATGGCCGAACTCCTTCAGGCTTGTGTTATTTGGAGATAAAACAGTGTTGCAAAACAAGCCAGTCAGAGGCGAGATTTTGGAATATCAGGAAGAAAGACTTCAAATCCTGTTGCTTCTGTTCACTTCTCATCTGCCAGCTACCTCCTAGTTCCTGAAACAAGAGCGCCAGAGCTTTTCTCCCACAAAAATTGGCCTTGTTTGAGATGAGCAGCGCCTCGCCTGGAAAACAGACGAGAGCAGACAGACGCAGCAGTGGGAGTGGCTAAAAGCCGGCGTGTCAGTCGGACAGATTTCCATACTTGTAGCTTGCGGGTGACGATGGCTGAAGATATCACGTTAGCATTCATACTTGTTTAATTTTTACTTTTAATTCTGGTGCCTATTAGCAACCGAAACACATCCTCACATGCTTGTGGATATCATACAGGTGCTGGCCAGTAAATTAGAATATCATCAAAAGGTTGAAAATATTTCAGTAATTCCATTTAAAACGTGAAACTTGTACATTATATTCATGCATTGCACACAGACCAATGTATTTCCAATGTTCATTACATTTAAATTTGATATTCATAAGTGACAACTAATGAAAACTCCAAATTTGGTATCTCAAAAAATTAGAATATTCTGAAAAGGCTGAATATAGAAGACACCTGCTGCCACTCTAATCAGCTGATTTACTCAAAACACCTGCAAAGGCCTTTAAAAGGTCCCTCAGTCTTGTTTTGAAGGCACCACAATCATGGGGAAGGCTTCTGACTTAACAGCTGTCCAAAAGACAATCATTGACACCTTGCACAAGGAGGGCAAGACACAAAAGGTGATTGCTAAAGAAGCTGGCTGTTCGCAGAGCTCTGTGTCCAAGCACATTAACAGACAGGCGAAGGGACGGAAAAAATGTGGTAGAAAAAAGTGTACAAGCTCTAGGGATAACCGCACCCTGCAGAGAATTGTGACGACAAACCCATTCAAAAATGTGGGGGAGATCCACAAAGAGTGGACTGCAGCTGGAGTCAGCGCTTCAAGAACCACCACGAGGAGACTCATGAAAGACATGGGATTCAGGTGTCGCATTCCGTGTGTCAAGCCACTCTTGAACATGAAACAGCGCAAGAAGCGTCTCGCCTGGGCCAAGGACAAAAAGGACTGGACTGATGCTGAGTGGTCCAAAGTTATGTTTTCTGATGAAAGCAAGTTCTGCATTTCCTTTGGAAATCAAGGACCCAGAGTCTGGAGGAAGAGCGGAGAAGCACAGAATCCACGTTGCATGAGGTCCAGTGTAAAGTTTCCACCGTCAGTGATGGTGTGGGGTGCCATGTCATCTGCCGGTGTTGGCCCACTCTGTTTCCTGAGGTCCAGGGTCAATGCAGCCGTCTACCAGGAAGTTTTAGAGCACTTCATGCTTCCTGCTGCTGACCAACTTTATGGGGATGCAGACTTCACCTTTCAACAGGACTTGGCACCTGCACACAGTGCCAAAACCACCAGCACCTGGTTCAAGGACCATGGTATCCCTGTCCTTGATTGGCCAGCAAACTCGCCTGACCTTAACCCCATAGAAAATCTATGGGGTATTGTGAAGCGGAGGATGCAATACGCTAGACCCAACAATGCAGAGGAGCTGAAGACGACTATCAGAGCAACCTGGGCTCTCATAACACCTGAGCAGTGCCACAGACTGATCGAGTCCATGCCACGCCGCATTACTGCAGTTATTGAGGCAAAAGGAGCCCCGACTAAGTATTGAGTGCTATACGTGCACATTCTTTTCATGTTCATTCTTTTCAGTTGGCCAACATTAGAGAAACAAACATTTTTTCATTGGCCTTTAGAATATTCTAATTTTCTGAGATACCAGATTTGATGTTTTCATTGGTTGTCACCTATAAATATCAAAATTAAACGTAATAAACATCGGAAATACATTGGTCTGTGTGCATTGCATGAATATAATGTACAAGTTTCACGTTTTGAATGGAATTACTGAAATATTTTCAACCTTTTGATGATATTCTAATTTACTGGCCAGCACCTGTATATTGTGGAAATGTACATATGAAGATATGACTGTAATAATAAGTAAAGGTTATCAACTGTAGAGTTTGTGTGCTTATAGGAAATGTCACAAAAGAAGACAAAACATATTTGTCTTTATGGCCTATATAGTTGTCATCATCAGCGTAACATGATTTACAGAATACTTATGACCAACTAACATTTTTCATTCTACCACTGGATGTTTGGATAAGAATGGGAACCAATCAGATCTTAGATCAGGTGAGAGCCAGGTGTTTCCCGTCATACCCTAGTTTTTTCAGCCGGTGGAGAGCAACTGCAGCACCTTGCTCCAAAATCTGCGGCCGCCTTGATCTCACGAGGTTATCGTTGCCTACGTGGGTATGACGCCAGAGCAAGTCGGTGTCAAGTCGGACACGAATCTAACCGGCATGCACTGTGCGCTGATCACCGGTGATCTAATCTGCGCAGAACTTGCTCATCTCAAACACGGCCATAGACTCACAAGGCATTCATTTAAACCGGAGACCACTGCTAACGTGTTAGAAGAAAACGAGTAAGCTTCTGTTTAGGACACAACATGACTGAAAACAATAGCTTTTACCAGCATAGAGAGCAAGCAACACTAACAACATTAACAGAGAATTAGCTTTTCAAAAGTGCTCATGATGTTAACCTATCACTCTGATGATAGATGGTGGTAATGTTGCTTCCTCGCTGCGCTAACTTTGCTAACAAAGAGCTAGCATATATCGTAGACGTTACTGCTTTTGAGTTGGATGCTTTAGTTCAGAGGTTTGCCTCTATTCGTCAGAACCCCTAAAACTCAATACTTACGTGTCTGTCTCTTGCCAGATCGTCCATCCATGGGGCTGTTGGATGAGGAGGAGGGTGAGCACCCACGTCGTGAGTGGAGTCCCAGTATGGGACACGAGGAGCGTATTCCCTTACAGATAAAAGACAAAAGAGAGCTGCGGACCAACCAAGGAGATGATCAGCTCAGAAGCCATGGGTCCTGCAGTACCTCAGAGAATATGTTCACTCCTTCACGCGTTTCAAATGAATACCCCCAGGACGGCCCCCACACATCCAGCCTTTCTCAGAGTCAGGGTGTGGAGAACAGGGAAAGGGATCCTGGATCTCGAGGCACCCCCAGGCATGTGAAGGGAGAGAGTGTGGGCAGCCACAGAGGCTCCACGTCTTCCAGCAGTGGTGCTCAGCCTCTAGCGCCGGTAAACCCGAACTGTTCCAACGAGAACAATATTGATATCATAGGTTTGGAAAATGGAGGACAGATGATTGGTGCTAAAGGAGCAGTATCTGGGTCTAACAGAGGACAAGTCACTGTCATGCGTAACCAAGGAGCTAACGCCATGGACTGCCCCCATCAGAAGTCCCCCATACAGGGTCACATGTCATCTTTCTGTTGTAAAGTATGTGGTGAGGCGTTTAGCCACATCGGTCATTTACACGTTCACGTGCAAGTGCACACTCGGGAGAAACCGTACCGCTGCGGGGTTTGTGGGAAATGCTGTAGCTCTTCCGGAAGACTTCAGGAGCACCAGCGAAGCCACACAGGGGAAAAACCTTTTCGCTGCCAGATTTGTGGAAAGGGATTCACACAGATGGCTCATCTGAAAGTCCACATGAGGATCCACACAGGAGAGAAGCCGTACAGCTGCCCTGTGTGTGGCAAGTGCTTCAGTCGCTCCGACAAAATCAAAAGGCACCTGCAGACACACAGCCGTGAGGGAACCTACTTCTCAGGGCAGTGATGCAAAATGTGTTCAACAGCCCAGTGTATGAATAATATTGATGTGAAAAACTTTTCTTATTGAAAGCAAAAACGACTGCAGCTGACAAGGATTCTCTTTGTACTTTACAAAAGTAGAAGTTCTGCAATTGTTAAAGAACTTTTCTTTTTATATCTAACCTAACAGTTCTCACTCTGGACAAGGTTTGTATTAGCCGGTTTAGTATGTTATTTGCATAAATTTGTATCTGTCACACGTATTAAATCTCAGACACATCTGAATAGTTAGTGTTTGAAACATATTTAGCTTTTTTTGTAGTCTCATACGTAGCACAAAGTCTTCCACATAAGCCTGTAAACAAACACATTAAGGGGTTGTCCTTAGTTTTCTTCATGTGTTAACCCATGCATCTGGAAGCAGCAGGAAGGATGCTAAGCTAAAGGAATACAAGCGACTGGTCAGTCAGGGAGATGAGGGGGTTGTGATTAAAGCGTGTGAAGGATTAGAATGAATGGACGATCTGCTCTGATCATAGAACGGTCTCATGACCGAATTAACAATTTTAATTAGTACTCGTACAATAAGTGGTGATGCTAAAGGTGGTAGAGCTGCACAATATTAGGAAAACTTGCGATGCACGATAATGATTAATATTATGATGACTTGCAATAAAAAAAAGCTTAACTGAAGAACAACAAAAAACAAACAAACAAAGAAATTAAAAAATATATAAAAGGGGAAAAGCAAAAATTGGAATCAAAAGATGTGTGAGGAAAGGGAAAAAGAAAATGAGCAAGAAAAGGCAATCGGTGGATCCTGGGAAAAGCAGAAGGAGCAGAAAGAAGCTAACTCAGGTGTTTGCTAGCCATCCAAATTAAACATCGTTGGCATAGGAGGCGGGCATCTAACCTGTAAATACCCACCTGATTGGCCAAATGGGTAAAGAGCTGTTTCATTTGTCAAAAACTTCATGCTTCCATTTGACAAATGCATTATGGGTAGAAAACACTTGAGCTGACCATACATTGCGGTCTTTCCTATTTTTTGTGATATGCATACTGCGCATGCTGATATCGTGATGACGATACATTTGCGATGTATTGTGCAGTCCTAATTTACACTGTGATTATGTTAACTACAAGCTGCTGCAGTATGCTAGTGCTACTAGCACGTGTTAGCACAAGTTGGTGAAAAAAACGTTTAAAAGGACAAACAAATTTGTAAACAGGTTTCTGCCACGTCACCCACCCCTGTAAGGAGAGAAGGACTGTTTAGCCTGGCTTAATTGAATGATGTCTGTGATGTTTGTAACAGTTGCGCTGCATTTTCAAGGCTGACCTCCAGCTGTTCTTGGATGGAGAAGTCTTTGGGGGTGTACTAAGGTGGATTAATACTTTTAGAAAAATGTGAATAAATGTCATGAAGAGGGCTTTGTTTAGTTCTAGATGAGGGGTTCTCAGTGGCTGATGCTAATTTACAATTATCTGGCTAAAACTATTTATCCAATTAATAATTGTAAACAACACTTAGAGCATAAAAAAACGTAAATGGAAGAAGACATGCCAAAAAACTGGCCGTTGATGGGATTCATCCAGAAATCCCAACACTTTTCCTGGTCCCTGAACTCACCATCGCTCAGCCTTCACTGGCAATAACAAATCCTCCAGATTAACTTCCAGAAGCATAATTTTCAAGTTATTTTCTAATTAAAGGTATTTTGAGACAAATTGAAAACAAAATCACTTTTGAAAGGTACAAATATTCGCGGTAGGGTCGTACCAAAGACTTTAAAAATGGGACCCAATGCTTTAAGGGGTTAGATTGAGGGGTTAAACCACCAAATGGTTCCCTAGTGCGGCTGTGTCTGCAGCTCACCGCTCCCCACAGGGATGGGTCAAATGTGGAGATGTAGTTTCACCAGTGTGTGATGATGACTATGGGACTTTGATTATCAGAAATTAGTATTGGCCCTAAAAACTGCATCATAGAAAAGTATTTTCACATAAAAACATCAGATGTTTACAACAATATCAGATCAGGCAGGAATATGTCAAACAACAGGGTGATGTGGCGAGGCGGTCCTGAAATAATCCGAATAAAAAAGCTCAATATTGTGATTATTGTTTGTTCTCACTGCCTTCTCGGGTATATGTTAGATTTTTAAAGTTTTAGTAGGTTAAATTGTAAGACTTGAACTCTTGATAAGTGTTGAATGAACTTGTTGAATGCTGAGAAGTTTTAGCTAAAGCCGTCTTGGTCAAATGTGATCAGTTTAAGGTTAAAAACAAGCTGCGTCTAATTACGTGAAACATTAAAACTGAAAATCACGAGACTTTGTTAAAATGCTTTGATTAAAAATCCTTTTTACTGAACGTAGATCAGAAACTTTGCTCAGTTTTCACTCCGAAAAAGAAAACAAATTCAGATGAAATGACCATTATGAGACGCTGTCAGTGCGCTTCAGCAGCCAGTTTCTTACCTTCATGTGGAGCTTTCTTGGTTAAAAACAAAATAAAAATTTGCACATTTATCAACTTTCTGTCGGCTATTTCTTACACTCTGGACTTTTTCTCTTATATTCACTTTCTCTCAACAGCCTTTTGCACAGATTAATAATTTAATTTGACTGTGACAACACATTACTGAACGTACAATGTTGCCATAGATTTAGAAAGGTGCTAATTTCCATCCCACAAAACTATAATTGTGAGACAGCCTTGTTTGGCTATTCCTAAAAGGCCCCGCCCCCTTTGTTTGGGATTATGCACGGAGCCTGAGAAAAGACAAAAGGGTCAGAGGTTGCTGGATAAATTGGAGGATTTGTGTTTAACTTAACGTAACAAAACTAAGGTGATGCAGCTCTTTAGTACACCCCCTATAGAACTTCTCTTGGTTTGACTCCATGTTATAAATCCACTGTAATGTTCTTGCTGCTGTTTCACTCTTGCAGAGAGAAAACCTGCCAATCTCACATCATTAGTGAAGTATTTTGAAATACCACTAGTCCTGATCTGTTCTTTGATTTGAAATGACGTGCACTTTGGCATCTGTGCTGAAAAATACACTGCTGAACTTAAAAATAAGTCCATCCAGTATTAGCTAACCAGGCTCTGTGGGGCCTGAGTTGGCAAATATTTGCATATTTCCACAGTTATAGTTAGTCTGCAGAAGCAATAGTCAGATTGGTTGTAATAAACTTTCCTCTACCATCAGAGCGGAGTTTGGATTTATGCTGCATTTGTAACAAGAGCTCACTCAGGATGCTTTTAGTCACATTTTTCCTCCCCAGCTCATGCTGTATCATTCGTTGCTCATTGGTATTTTTTTTAATAAAGAGGTGATTGAGTATTCTCTGTCCCATGTTGGAAGTTCCCAGTGTGTCCTAAAAGAGCAGAGAAGCAGGGAATAATGCAAAAAGATGTGATTTAAGTGAATGAGTACTTTATATTTAAGTTTTTAAATAAAAAATAGCATTTATTTGTGTCACAAGATGTGCACAGGTTAGTCATATCAGTGTTTGGTTGTTTATAGTCAGAAAAAAACCATAAGTTAATATTCAGCTTTTCCTTATATGACAAATAAAAGATTCAATCCTTTAAAACAGAAAAAAAAAACCATCTGCAAATGTCCAGTTAGGAACAGTTTTGTAAATAAATCAGTAATGCATGTAGTAATGTGTTTACACCACTAGGTAGAGTTCTTCCCATATTCAAAAGATTCAGGTTAATTTATTTGCTGAGGACACAATAATGAACATCTATCCAAACATCAATAGACGTAAACATGGCTCCTACTGGAACGCCATATTTTATAAAATACATTATAGGACTTAGAACAGGACAGCAGCTCACCACAGGAGCAAGAAATTCACTATATTTATTCATTAGTTTATTCTCTAGTTCACCAGACTGAACTCTTGTGTTGTTGAGCACTCCCTTACGCTTCAGAAGAGGACACTCGCTCCATAGTTGATTCTCTTCAAATTAGACCTGTTGTATTTTTTAAAGACACCTCATGTTTGATTTTTACTTTTAGTCATTTATTGAAGGAAAGTTGTCAGTATTGTTCATTCATTACATTTTGAAGATCAGACATATTTGAAATGGATAAAAATAAATAAAGTCACACCAAATAAAAATGTGGGTCTCAAGAACAAACAAAACAAAAAGTAATAAAACAACACAAAACACCCATAGAGCCATTAAAGTACACACTTTGGAGCCTTTCTTTTCTAAGGACATTCCTACTCACATGAAGATGACAGTCATATTCGTCACCGTGACTTTGATCTTTTAAAATAGCCGTGTTATTAATATGTTATGATGAACTAATCACAGCTCCTGAGCAGAGTTGACAATTTACGAAGTTCTCCTGGGAGCATTAATGTTCTGATGGATGGTCTAACGAGGGGAAAAAAAAGAGACATTTCTCTCATTCGGGGCTTTCTCAATGACATATTTACATTACTGTACAGTAAGAATTTGATCACAATTATAAATTCTCATTGATCTTATAATAATATGTTTATTGCCAGACTTAAAGTCCATTTTAAAAGAAACATACAGATAAAAGAAAAAACACAAGGAAAGAAAGGATACCAATTAACATTAATACCAATTAGATCTTATATAAAATCACAGAATACAACTGCAGCGGGAGTAAGGGACAACAAAACTAACTAGCTGAGATAAAACTACCCAAACATTTTTACCAGTGCATTCTCAGCCTAGACATATAACGAGAGCAGCTCACTGTGGGATTTGAGAGTGCAACTATAATACTCTTGGAAGATTCTTCCAGCCGTCTCATAAACTTGAACATTAAATTTCTTAGAAGTGCCTTATATGTGCACACTCTCACAGAAATGAACATTTGACTGGCTCTTCCTCCCCTAGGAATTTTGAGGATTCTCATTGCATCATTGTATGCCACTTGTAACCTGTGCAAGCTAGACTTTTTATAGGATGACCACAGATGTGCTAGCCTAGTGAACTAGACCAAATTCTTGCTTTGCAAAGAATGGTCTAGGCATGCTCCATTGGAACCTCAGCAGCTCCTACCAGGACTCTGGCTAGCCAATCACAGCTCTCTAGAGGGGTTTCAAACACATAAAGAGCTGTGATTGGTCCATAATGGTGGGCCAATCATAGTGCTCTATCTGCTTAGTGAACAAATCACAGAGCTTTATCCGCTTTGTGGGCCAATCAGGGCACTTTATATGCCTGGTGGGTGGGATGATGCAACAGAGTGAAACAAGAGTATGTCACATTCATTGGCCAGTGGAATGTGGAGATCATTTGAAAGACAACGGTAGAACCCGCCCCACAACCGAGAGCCGTCAATGGAGCATGGCCAGACTAAATAATACATTTATTTAGTCTGGCTTGCCAGGCTACAGATGTGCAGCATATAGTGGTGTGCAGTATGCTTTAAATAATGCCACTTTAACAGGTGTGGAACAACAGCTGAATTTCCGTGCAATGGTGTTTGCTTGCACATATAGCTTGCAGCACTGCCTGCAGCGTCGCTCATATTGGCTGTGATAAAGTGTCCAAAATATTTTATCTTTTGACAGACTGCAAGACTGTTGCTGGACAACTTAAACACAGGAAAATTAAGCCTTTTATCCTGAGAGGTTCTGTAGATTAGAACAGCAATTTTACTCGAGTTATATTTTAAATCATATTCCATTCCATACCCAGTACTAACATCTAGGAGCTGCTGCAGTCCTGCACTACTTGGACTAAAAACTACGAGGTCATCCACATACATAAGGTGATTAATCAAAACATCACTTATCAAACAGCCTTTGTTACAAGCTCTCAGGCACCCAGATAACTCATCAACATATAAGTTGAACAAAACATGATAAATGTCCCCCCTGCCTTACCCCATTAGACACACTAAAGGGGTCAGAAATACTACCTCCCCATTTAACATGCATCTTCTGGTGGGCATACCAATAGGCAAGCACTCTCACAACACCTCGAGGCACAGCCCTTAGCTATAATTTAGTAAAAAACTTGTTATGATTCACTCGATCAAACACTTTGGAGACATCAATAAAACTCATGAGAATAGTAGAATTTTTTGACCTACATAGATTCACTATTTCCTTAAGAGCATAGACACACATGTCCGTACCATGCTTGGACTTAAAACCAAACTGATTATCAGAGGAAAATAAATACTCACTTACTCTATCCAAGAGGATTCTTTCCATAACCTTAGATAAAACACTAGTCAATGCAATGGGTCTATAGTAGTCTAGGCAACCAACTTTTCCCGCCTTTTCCTTAATAACTGGAACAAGCAATGTGGTCATCATTGTATTAGGAAGTATGCCGTGAGACATAAATCCAGTAAAACAGATTGCTGACAAGGGAGCAAGCCTGGGACTAGCATATTTCAAATGCTCTGCTGTGACTGAATCCATGCCACATGCTTTACTGTTAGGTCATTTTTGCACAGCATCATACACCTCATGTGGCAAAATATTCATGGACTCATCTCTAATGACAGAATCCACCACATTATTTAAAATGTCCAAAAAAATGCAAATTCTTAAAAATGTTAATGCAGAAATTGGGGATTTTTATGGGATTATAATTTATAAATGTAATTTAGAAACTAGGTTAGGAGCACTATCTGCTACAAAGGTGAGGTTATAGGAGACCGTTTCAGGTCACAGATCAAACACCACAAGAGTAAACACAGCACAGATACTCTGCAACAGTAAGGTTAGTTCCTCGGAGAGAATCAGGGAGGTTTTGAGACTCGTCTTCAAGCTTGTTTGAAGATATTCAAAGAAGCAGGACCACAGATGCAGTGGCTGGTCACGTACACTTAGTGCAGGAGATGAAAGACGGGTCACGTTTACTTCTCTTTAAAAACTGCAGCAGAGCCATCAGCTCAGAACTGGCAGAAACCTGCAGGACACATCTAGAGAAGTCTGCCCACCTCTGAAACTTCCATCATGGAAATGATTCAGGATAAGGATTCAGCTCTGCCCATCGCAGGTGCTTTTGGACTAATGACAGGATGGAACTGGAGACTAGTACAACCCTGATAACTGTAGGAAATAGATAAGCATGGTGGAAGGTTCCTCACATGTTCAGCGCTGCATTCCTGTTAATGAAAGGGGAGAATCACTCAGGATTAGCTTTGCTCTCACTACTGAGAACAAGCAGATATCATGTGATTCTATCAAACATCTGATTGGCACCAAATGTATTCCGTAAAAAGAAAATGACCCCAAACATAACAGCTGTTGTCATTAAGACCCTTTGACATAGAAAAACAGCTGAAAATGCAAGAGTGAAGGCATCATGACCTGCATCCAACAGCTGTGCACTAACACTGACAGTCTCTGACTTTTGTCTGACTACATTATAAAAATGTTTCTAGAACGTCTCAAATCTTGCATCGGATAATTTGCAGCAAACCAGCATGTTTAAATTATGACTGTCATGAGTCGGGGTGAGTACTCCTCTCAAACATTCCAGCTTTGAGTTGTGTTTCAGGAGAGGG